AAACCCAATTTTGATTGTTCTTCATTACAAATCCACGTATATCACACACTTTATGCACCGCAATCCGGCTTCAATAATCCCCGAATTCTTCACAGATCTGTATCAGGTGAAGATCGAAGATATTGATTAGGGTTTCGCACTATTTTTATTTATTTATTTATTTTTTTTTTGGGATCGAAACCAGATCTCACTTTTTTTGTTGTACTCGTGATGTTTTTGATACAGATTGTGTGATTTTTGAGGGAAAATAGCTGTAGAAAATGTTGACGAAGTTTGAGACGAAGAGCAATCGAGTGAAAGGACTGAGTTTCCATAGCAAGAGGCCATGGATCCTGGCGAGCCTTCACAGTGGCGTGATCCAGCTGTGGGATTATCGCATGGGCACCCTCATTGATCGGTTTGACGAGCACGATGGGCCTGTTCGAGGGGTTCATTTTCATAAATCACAGCCGCTTTTTGTATCTGGAGGTGCGATTTATTTGTGGAATGTTCATGAATTTGTTTTGCATTGTGATGTCGGCTTGTTTTTTGTGTGATTAAAGTTCTCTGGCGTTCGTCAGCCTCTTTTTTAATCTGGAGGTGTGATTTATTTGTGGAATGCTACTCAAATTGTTTGCATTGTGATCTCAGCTTTTTTTTTGGGTGATTAGGAGTTCGCTGGCGTGTTTGTGGTGTTTTAGTATCTTGATCTGATGGTTTTTGCTTATTTTTTATGGCTTGATCGATTAGTCAGCTGGATTTGCGATTTGGATTTGCTGTTTGGCTATGTATTTCTGTTGATTGTGATTAGGACCATTAGGTTCAGTGGTAACAATTTGTTTCCTGTATTAAATAATTTGTGACCCTCTGCAAATAATTGCTTTCCTGAGTCGGTTATAAATTTTCTCTCATAAGCACTGATATGATTTACCGGTTTATTTATTACGAAAGTCCTGCTATCATGTTGCTATTTGTTTCGTATCTTGAGCTTTCAACCTAAGAGGTCCTAAGTGTGTTCATGTTATATTTGGGCTTTGTATCTCATATGCAGTGACATGCACATGTATATTGTTCCCTGGCAGCATATTTGTTTCATTATTAGTTTAGACAATTGATATTTTGTATTGTAAACATCGTTTTTGGCAGGTGATGATTACAAAATCAAGGTGTGGAATTACAAACTGCACAGGTGTCTGTTTACTCTTCTTGGTCATCTTGATTACATCCGAACAGTTCAATTTCATCAAGAATATCCTTGGATTGTAAGTGCTAGTGATGATCAAACAATTAGAATATGGAACTGGCAATCTCGAACTTGCATTTCTGTACTGACCGGGCACAACCATTATGTTATGTGTGCCTCATTTCACCCCAAAGAAGACCTTGTCGTTTCAGCCTCTTTGGATCAGACTGTGCGCGTTTGGGACATTGGTGCTTTGAGAAAGAAAACTGTGTCCCCTGCTGATGATATTTTGCGATTGTCTCAAATGAACACAGACTTTTTTGGTGGGGTTGATGCTGTGGTGAAGTATGTATTGGAAGGCCATGATCGAGGTGTTAACTGGGCTTCATTCCATCCAACTCTTCCTCTGATTGTTTCTGGAGCAGATGACCGCCAAGTTAAAATATGGCGCATGAATGGTATGGAGCAGTGTATTTTGTTTCTTTCAGGAGCATATTTTTCTAAATATTATTCTTTTGGAAGATTAGTTATGTTGTCTTGGAATATTATGTGATAAATCTGCATCTATCTGACTATTTGTTAGTGGAACAAGGAGATAACCTTTTAAATGTTGTAACTGTTGGGGCACAATGAGTGAGATCCAATGGGTTCTATTTTAAATTCCTACGATATTGTAAAAAGTATTACTGTGTTTACATGTTTCCTCAATGTTCCTTCTGTTCAGAACACGTTAAACGTTGTAATTTTTGTTGTCTTTGTTTTGGGCAATCTATATTTGTTTTCTTGGATTTGGTTAACTAATTGACATACCATCCATTTGATGAAAGATACTGAAGAGAAGGGTAGGTTCTGTTTATTTTTTATTTTTATTTTTTTATTTTTTAATTTTTTTTTTCAGTTTTTTCTTGGTCAAGGGATTCTGTGTCTATTTCTATATAGGTGCTGACTCCATATTTGCTTGAAACTGCCCGGACGAATTTCTTTCTAGAAGTTACTTATATTGTCCCATGATGGGTGGTATATATATTGGTAATGTACGTCTATATATTGGTAATCTAATTGGATAGCTAATTCTTTCATTTGGTTATGTGTCAGATACAAAGGCTTGGGAGGTGGACACATTGAGAGGTCACATGAACAACGTGTCATGTGTCCTGTTCCATGCGAGACAGGACATCATTGTCTCAAACTCAGAAGACAAGAGCATTCGAGTCTGGGATGCCACAAAAAGAACTGGTCTTCAAACGTTCCGTAGGGAGCACGACAGGTTCTGGATCCTTGCAGCTCATCCTGAGATGAATCTTCTTGCTGCAGGTCATGATAGTGGCATGATTGTTTTTAAGCTGGAAAGAGAGCGTCCTGCGTTTTCTGTTAGCGGCGATTCCCTCTTTTATGTCAAGGACAGGTTCCTCCGTTCCTTCGAGTATTCTTCCCAGAAAGACATTCAGCTCATACCTATCCGTCGTCCTGGTTCTAATAGCTTGAATCAGGGGCCTCGATCTCTCTCCTACAGTCCAACGGAGAATGCTGTCTTGATATGCTCGGACATCGATGGGGGATCGTATGAGCTCTATATAATCCCCAAAGATAGCTATGGCAGAGGAGATACTGTTCAGGATGCAAAAAGAGGCGTTGGGAGCTCGGCAGTTTTTATTGCTCGAAACAGGTTTGCCGTGCTAGAGAAGAGCACCAACAATGTACTGGTCAAGAACCTGAAAAATGAAATAGTGAAAAAGAGTCCTCTTCCTATCGGTACCGATGCCATATTCTACGCGGGCACTGGGAATCTGCTGTGCAGGTCTGAGGACAGGGTTGTCATCTTTGATCTCCAGCAGAGGATTGTCCTCGGGGAGATTCAGACGTCTTTCGTTCGGTATGTGTTCTGGTCCCCGGATATGGAGAGTGTCGCTTTGCTGAGCAAACACTCGATCGTTATAGCTGATAAGAAACTTGCCCACCGATGTACGCTCCACGAGACTATCCGTGTCAAGAGTGGGGGCTGGCAGGATAACGGCGTGTTTATTTACACGACCCTGACCCACATCAAGTACTGTCTTCCCAATGGGGACAGTGGGATTATCAAGACTCTGGATGTCCCAGTGTACATCACCAAGATATATGGAAGCACAATCTTTTGCCTGGACAGAGAAGGAAAGAATCGCCCCATCATCATCGACCCCACCGAGTACGTCTTCAAGCTGTCCCTGCTAAAGAAGAGGTATGACCAGGTAATGAGCATGATCAAAAACTCAGAGCTGTGTGGGCAGGCCATGATTGCTTATCTGCAGCAGAAGGGCTTCCCGCAGGTGGCCCTCTATTTCGTTAAGGACGAGCGTACCCGATTCAACCTCGCCCTCGAGAGTGGGAACATTGAGAAAGCACTCGAGTCTGCCAAGAAAATAGACGAAAAGGACCACTGGTACAGGCTGGGTGTGGAGGCCCTCCGCCAGGGAAATGCTGGTATTGTCGAGTATGCGTATCAGAAGACCAAAAACTTTGAGCGACTCTCCTTCCATTACCTCATAACCGGAAATCTGGATAAACTCTCGAAGATGATGAAAATCGCTGAGGTTAAGAATGATGTCATGGGACAGTTTCATGATGCTTTGTATCTCGGTGATGTTCGTGAGCGCGTAAAGATTCTTGAGAACGCGGGCCACCTGCCCCTCGCATATATCACCGCCTCAGTTCATGGCCTACAAGAGACTGCAGAGCGTCTGGCAGCTGAACTGGGTGACAATGTTCCTTCTCTTCCTGAGGGGAAACGAGCATCTCTCCTGATACCTCCAAGCCCGGTGCTCTGCGGGGGGGATTGGCCCTTGCTGATGGTCAGCAAGGGAATATTCGAGGGTGGCCTCGATGAGGTGACCAGGGGACCCACCAAAGAGGACTACTACGACGATGCTGCCGATGCTGACTGGGGCGAGGGCCTGGACATTACTGATGTGGACAACATTCAGAATGGTGACATCAGCGTGGTGGTTGATGAGCTCACCGCGCATGGGGACGAGGGTGGGGATGAGGAGGGTGGGTGGGACCTCGAGGACCTGGACCTCCCAGCCGAGACACCGACTAAGGTGGATAGCAGTTTGCTTTCATCTGTTTTCGTGGTTCCAACTGCAGGGATGCCCGTAAGCCAGATCTGGGTTCAGCGCTCGTCCCTGGCTGCCGAACACGCCGCCGCTGGAAACTTCGATACAGCCATGCGCCTCCTGACCCGCCAGCTGGGCATAAAAAATTTTGCCCCTTTGAAATCTCAATTTGTAGACTTACATGTCGGCAGCCACACCTATCTCCGTGCTTTCACCTCTTCCCCTGTTATCTCGGTTGCGATCGAAAGGGGCTGGAGCGAGTCAGCGAGTCCAAACGTCCGCGGGCCCCCAGCCCTCATCTTCAATTTCTCTCAGCTGGAGGAGAAGCTGAAAGCTGGTTACAAGGCCACGACCACCGGGAAATTCTCCGAGGCCCTGAAGAATTTTCAGTCCATTCTCTACACAATACCACTGATCGTGGTCGAGACTCGTAGGGAGGTAGATGAGGTGAAGGAGCTGATTGTGATTGTGAGAGAGTATGTTCTCGGTTTGCAGATGGATCTCAAGAGGAAGGAATCAAAGGACAATCCTGTCCGTCAACAGGAGCTTGCGGCTTACTTTACACACTGCAACCTCCAGCTTCCACACACAAGGCTTGCATTATGGAATGCAATGTCCATTTGCTTTAAAGCGCAGAACCTGAGCACGGCGGCTAATTTCGCTAGGAGGCTGCTGGAGACGAACCCGAGCGTTGAGAACCAGGTGACGAAGGCTCGCCAGGTGCTCCAGGCAGCTGAAAGGAACATGAAGGATGCAACCCAGCTGAACTATGATTTTAGGAACCCGTTTGTCGTATGTGGAGCCACTTATGTCCCGATTTACAGGGGGCAGAAGGATGTGACATGCCCGTACTGTGGGACCCACTTTGTTCCTTCCCAGCAGGGGCAACTGTGTACAGTATGCAATCTTTCTGTGATTGGGTCGGATGCGTCGGGCTTGCTGTGTTCACCTTCGCAGATTAGATGATTGGATTTGACTGATGTGAATTTGGGGTAGCTCTTGAGAAATTTTTACTGCTGAGGGGAAAGTTGGCCGTCTTTGTGCAGGTGCGCTCGCTGAACAAAGGAAGAGGTAGGAGTTTCGGAAGCCAAGGTTTTTTTTTTTTTTTTTTTATATGGGTTATAACTGTTCTGTATCTCTTTACTTCTTTATTTTCGATTATTATTATTTTTCAATTTACAGTTTTCTTTGTAATAATCATGTGTAAGATTTTTCACTTATATACCATTCTTGTGAGGATATTGGTGTGCCTGGCTAAAGTTGGCGACTGTATTTCCCACCTGTTATCGTTTTTAAGATTTTGTGTCGGTTCTAAGTTTTTGCAGATGGTAATAGGCATTTCGATTGCTTGCCCACAGATTTAATTTTGATGTAGCTTGGTTGGACCATCTCGCTCTCAGCGTGTTCTCATTTGTATTTTAGCGATAAAATAAAAAAGGTTGGCAATCGTTCGGAGCTTATGTTGTATTTACTTTATTCTTTGTGTTGACTTGTAGGGTGATACATACAAATACAATGTTATTGTAGCAAGTGGAATAGCCACTATTAATAAATCATTCACCTTGAATTGTGTGCCAAAATTTTTGCCTATAAAAAGGCATCTTGAGCTTTGTAAAATTTGCACGAAAAGTGAAGAAATAAAGCAGATTATAATCGTTCCGGTTTTTATACATTGTGTTCTTTATATTCCCCGTATTTCATAACACGTTATCAACACGAGCGCTCTACCCGGTCAAGAAAGGTAGGATATATATACATATTACTATTATTCTTGACAAGTTAGGCTCTGCCACAGTCAAGGATATATATACATATTACTATTATT